TAAGATTTTTTGTAGTTTTTTTATCAGTTATCTGAAACTATAATTAAAATTCATGTAAAACAATAAGGATATAATTAAAACAAACTACAGGAAAGGAAAAGAAGGCACATCAAAGACGAGTTGGTATCTCAAGAAACGAATGAACGATTATCAGCTTGTATCCAGGAAAAAAAAAAAAAAAGAAGAGGAAGAGGTTATCAGCTTGTAAGTAGTGACTTTATAATTATTGTATTATTTATTAATATTAATATTTAAGATCAATGGTAATTTCATTGAAAAAAAACTAATTAATTTGATTTAAGATCCGTTTTATTGTGGGAAAATTATTTTTAAGGATCAAATTCACAAGCTATTTATTCTCCGAAATTCCAAATTTGCCCATCACATAATAATGCAGATTTATCAGTCAAACTAAAATAGCACTAAAATATCATAAATTTACAAGTAAAATTGTTAGAATTTACCATTGTCAGAAAATGCCTCATCTTTCGCCTCCACAAAGCTGCCAAATACCGTGTAAGTAATTATGTCTCTATTATTAATAACTATCTCTTAGAGTATACACTAATAAGAGTTGATCCAATTGGTAAGGAGTCAGCTCATAATCCATAAGGTCGTGAGTTTGAATCTCACTGCTGATGTGAGAACCTTGTTAGTGGGCGATCTGTAAATACCTCTGCAAACGCTCTCTGAGTCTGGAAGCATACTCTAGCCGGATGGCCCTGTGAGCCCCCAGGACCTAACTCATCTAAACTTTTATTCACAAAAAAAAAACCATCTCCCATAAAATTTTTATACAAGCGGCTGGATAATAAAATTTGTTTTTACGAATTTTTTTCCAGTTAAAATATTTTTAAAACTTGGATTTGAATCTAAAAATGTTTTTAGGTGCAATGTATGCACTTTAAATTTTAACATGAGATTTCTTTTTTGGCCAATTTTAAGATGTGATGTTGAATATAACTTATAATCATTACTACAAGAAAAAAAAAAGAGCTTTCACAATGCTAATTTACTGCAGTTATCAGAAAAAACACTGTAAAAAACATGACGGTGCATTTTTCTAATTATAAGGAAGTCAATTTTACTTTTCACGATGGTTATTTAAAAAAATAGCCGTTAAAAATACTTTTCACGGCAGTTATTTAAAAAATTGTAGTTAAAAATACTTTTCACGACAGTTTTTTAAATAACCGTCCTAAAAAAAAAACTTTTTACAGCAGTTTTTTTTAAAGTAACTACCTTAAAAAGTCTATTAGAATTTTAAAACTCTATCCATCGCATAATAGTTTTTACTTTTCAAAATCAGAGCTCATAGTCTCCCATTACCTCCTTACTCAATTTTCTCTCTCGTCCTACCTTTGCTGGCCTTTATTATTTGCTTCTATCATCTCCACCATGTTCTTCCATCACCGTTGCTGTAGCTATTGCTGTCACTGTCGCTGTTGCTGTCACCTCATCCTCTTCATTCTTATTTGTGAGTTTTTCACTCTTTCTTCTCCATTCTTTCCATAGGTTTCATAGTTTTTGTGGTTTGACAGCCTGAAATTCATGAATTTTATCGGATCTGAATTTTTGATTTTACCTTTATTAAATCTTAGTAGCTTTGATTTGGTAGCAGAAAGCGAAGCAAAATGATGCTATTATGGCAGAAAAGAATCTACGCTTGCTCCATCAGAATGTTTTTAACTAATAAGAAGTTACTAGTTGATTGATTCTCAAACCCCTTCCTTTATAGCTTTATTCTCCTGTTCCATCCTGATCAATAGGATAAAAGTAAACTAAAAAAAAAACTTTTCATGGCGGATATTATATAACAGTTGTAAAAAATCATATACCACGGGGGTTCTTCAGCCACCATGAAATCCTATATATTTTATGCCAATGGTATAGACATCATTCTTAAAACCATCGTGAAAAACTTATTTTGACTGCCGTTAAATATCTTTTTTGTAGTAGTGAACATTCATGGCTTGAAAATAATATGTAACTTTGAATATGTATATTATGTATTGATATATTGATAATTAATTTTGAAGAGTAAGAAAAAGGGGATAGTAAGGTTTATTCTGATATATTATATATTTATATACTATATATATTATATATTTATATATTGATGTAATCAGCAAAATAAATATATACTGCCAGCAATTGAAAAACTATTATGAAAATAAGGGAAATCCAAGAAAGATTTGGTACAAGAGATATGAGTAAGACGAGAGAAGAGAAAGGAGGAATGATTCTTATCACATTTCATGGTCCCAAATGTACGTCTATTTACAGGGCCCGGCATTAAAGACTCACTCCAAACTCCAAAGAGTTACAAATACATAAAGAAGAGAATTAAACAACTTAATTATACAAATGGAGGTTAAAGGAAATATAATAAATACAATAAACGCTTCACTTTAGAAGTTATGGGGTACAATGTCATTCAATACGAGGTGGAAAGGTCAAAAGTCTTATTCTTGGATGTTATGAATATCCACACAATTATAATATTTATAGCAAAAATAAATATATTGTTATGAAGATAATAATATTTGTGTGGATGCTCGTATTCTGACTATTATCTCCGATATCTTACATTATGTTTATTATCCCATAATTATTTCCTATAATTAAGAAATTTGTAGATTCTATTAACGTTATAAAGTTATATCTATAAATAGAGGGGTATGTATCATATTGAAAAAAATTGAATGGAATGAGAAATACTCCTCTCTTCTCTTCTTTCTAATTCCCTACTTTTTTTATTTACTTTTCCTTTAGTTTTATAACATATATTATATAGTTATCATATGTTATTTATTGTATCAAGTTATTTCTACATAATTTTATTCTGAAAAAAATTAAAAGAAAACAAGATTTAATAAGGAGTTGAATTTAACTCTGGCAGAAGTCGCATTTAACGTGAGTTGCTTTTCACGTGAATGGTTTGAATTCCTCCATCATTTACACCTGCACAGGCTCAACCCTCAATTGTTGAAACTACTTTGTTTATCTAAATAAAATATATATTCACCTGTTTTATCTTAAATATTGAAAATTATTATTTCAAGAGGTTGAAATCTCCAAAAATTAAAGATTTTTTTTTAAAAAAAGTCATTTTTAAAGGATCAAAATTATTGCTGAATATCAATTGGGAGCATATGACAAAAATTTATGCTTATTTTAACATTAATATAATGTAGAAAACACCACCAAAAATTTCTGAAATTCGATACATTTATTCATAAAAATTTGGGAAAATACCATTAACATGTCAAAATCCCAAATAAAGGTCTCAATAATCTCATTTATTTGAAATTTTAAACATTGTAAAAAAAATAATAGGAAAAATCTCAAAAAATACCTCTTGATTTAATAATAATTGATTATATTTAAAAAAATAAATAACAACATATTTTTATACTAATTCCAAATTTAAAATTTTAAAATTTTGCAGGCATATTTTTGAAATATTTTCAAGAGATTACTTCCCTTCACTTTTTTTTTTAATTCCTCGAAGTACTCGCCCCCCCTCCAAAAATACCGGGGGGGCGGTTGCCGGTTGCCGGTTGCAGCCATCAGAGCTTCAGTGTCCCGAACCACACCAGCAGTTAGTCATCGGCTCTGGCAACCCAACCGACAACTAGGCACTAGCAAAATCACTGATACAGTCATAGAATTTTTGAAACTAGAATAGCAAATAGCAAAACTAAAATAGTAAACATCAAAGTACATGTGATAGATAGTTAGCAACATAAGTCTTTCCCATGCATGTACTAAATCTCAAATGCTGACATATTAAGCTTGACTCTTAAAAATTAAAACTTATTTGATCAAAATATTACTCTAAAATTTTTTAGCATTTACTCTTATGATCTTATTTATAGATTTTTTATCATTTTTATAGGACATAGAGAAATTTTTTTTACATGAATGTATAATTTTCCCTTCATTTATTATTATGTAGACTTTATTTTCATTGGATATAATATATATTTAATAGGGATAAAAATAAAAATTATTAAGTTTTAAATAAGAGTTAATGAAATTTAAAATTTTTCTTAATCGATGTAAAACATGTTGAAAGTTACTTATAAATATAATTAGGAAAGTATAAAATTGTGGCATCAGCATTTTCAGTTAATGAACGTTGGCAAAAAAAAATTCAGTTAATGAAATCAGTGGTGTTAGGGTTAGAGAAGTGAAAAACTACTTTATAAAATTAAGAGATAACATTGAAACCTTCTGTAAAATTAGGATAGTAACAGTGCACTTTTGTCTTTTCTAAGCACATACAATCTGATGAAAACTGTGCCAATTAAAAATTATTCGAAATTTTCTTTTTAATTAAAAACTTTGCAATCTGACGAAAACTCAACTTCAATTTTGTGAGATCATTGTTATCCTCCTGCTATAATTTTCTTTCTATCATATCTGACATTTACACTGACATGAATCAAAATTTATTTATATGAAGCGTAAACATTTTGTGGACTAGCACTTGAAAGAATAAACATTTTATTCACATGCGCTTTTCTTTCTCTGAAGGCTCTATATATACGAGGCGCACCTATGCAAAAATGGCAGGACAGCCCTCTTCATTGCTTATTGAGTGAACAATGGCTTCTCTCATCTCTAAGTCTTTATTTTCTAATTTTCTGTTTCTCTTTGATGACATGTCTCTCTTTCAGTAGCAATCCTGGCGACTTCTCTTCTCTGAGCAATTATGACCTACACAAGTTCACTTCAAACGAAGACGTCTTTGAGCTGTTCAAAGCGTGGCAGAAGGAATACAACAAAGAAAACGAAAGCAAAGAGGAGGAGTTGAAGAGGTTTGAGATCTTCAAAAGCAACTTGAACTACATCCTGACGAAGAACGCAAAGAGATCATCAGCCTCTCAGTATATGCTGGGTTTGAACCAGTTCGCAGATCTGACTTTTGAGGAATTCAACAAAACCACTTGGGTGAGATTCAGATAGACCAGTCCACTGTAGAAGAAGCCAAAATGGGTAATAATAAGATGGAACAATCCAGGTTATGCCCTAGTGCACCTACCACCTGGGATTGGAGGATTATGGGTGCTGTAACTCCTGTTAAAAACCAAGGCAATTGTGGTAAGAGTAAATTGAGTTTTTTTTTTTTTTTAATTATCTAAGTCCACTTTTATATACATGGAATGAATCAGATTCAGTGACTAATGTATATGGTAACTGATGTTTTTAAAGGATCTAGTTGGGCATTCTCTGCAATTGGAGCCATTGAAGGAATAAATGCACTGACCACAGGAAATCTTGTGAGCCTTTCTGAACAGCAACTCGTATCTTGTGATACTTCTAGCTTTGGCTGCCAAGGAGGCTATGTCACTACCGCTTTTGACTATGTCATCAGAAATCGTGGAGTTGCCTCAGAGGCACTTTATCCTTACACAGCCACAAATGGTACCTGTAATGCCTTTCTGGTTAGTGCTCTTCCCTGTTCTCCCCCTCAACGCCTCTCTAAAACTGATACCACCTCTGGTCCTCATACCACCTCTTAGTCATTCAATGTGTATACTAAATGTGTGTGATAAAGTTTTACTATTCTGTCTCCTGTCTCTCCGATATTGAATGGAGACAAAAGTGAAAGATCACATTAATTATCATGACAACGTCTTATGTTTTTTACCACAATTTTCTTCTAACTAACTTCTTATATTATGGACCGCAGGTATTATAAGAGCTAGATAACTAATTTGTGAATATTAAGAAAATTAGTTAAGCTAGTCATTTGTAATAAATAAGTGTTATCTTTTCTAAAATATTTTTATTAATCATGTGCATTAGAATGAAAACATTTTAACATGCAATCATCATGGGGATTATTTTAAAAGAAAATAAATAAATATAAAAGACAAAGTAGATAGGAGTTATCTTATATTTATGATCGAATTGAATATCTAATTAGTTCTTATATTTAGAAGTGAAGGTAGTATTATATGCATATGGGCCACACCTTCATCTTCATCTTCATCTTCTTCTTCTTACCAGATTTATATATTAATACATCACTTTCGAAACAGGAAACAATCAGAACCGCTTCAATTGATGGCCGTCAGTGGGTAGGTTTCGGATCGGAATTAAGATGCCCTCCTTTGCGCAGTTGCTCGGCAGCCCGTTAGTGCTCTTATTCAAGCTAGTGGCCTGGATTTTATGTTATACCAGAATGTAAGTCATGTATATTTGATCTCATGATTTGGTTATATAAATGAATGTGGGAGCAACTATGTTTTTTTTTTCCCTACTTGACATCGCGTTTCTAATATTTAATATAAAAGCTAGTCTAAGGTTAAATTTGGTCATAAATGTGATATATACCTCATTCTATTTTATTTTTCATATTTATCATTTTTTGCTAAACTAAGTTACTTAGTTTGTAAACTGATGTATAATTTAATGTTATGCATGGATACTATAGGGACATCAGATCACTTTGTTATAATTGACTAATTTATTTAACTTTCTTAATCTACCGAAATTACATACACACATGGATTTTACTAGGTTTCGAAATAAATTGGAAGCTAAATTTTGTTTACTTGTGACATGAGCAGGGAATCATAGATGAGTCAGCCTGCAGGAACATTAGTCCATGTACTGTCAATCACGGCGTGTTGATTGTGGGATATGGTACAATTAGTGGGCAAGATTATTGGATTGTGAAGAACTCCTGGGGAAGCAACTGGGGAGCTGGTGGCTACTTTTCCTCAAAAGAAACACTGGCCTAGGTGTTGGAGTATGCAATGTTAATTGCTATCCAATCGTCCCAACCAAAAACACTGTCACGCTTGATTCTGCCATATGAATGGCTGCTAGGCCACTACAAAAAAAAAGACTTTAGGTGATGACTTTCTGCGGCGACACCAAAAAGTCACTGCTGAAACTAAGACTTTCAGCGGCGACAAAAATATCACTGCTGAAAGTGAACTTTTAGTGGCGACTTTTTTTGTCGCCGCTGAAATTATACCTTTGAGCGGAAGGGATGTAATGAAAGTCTACTTTCAACGGCGATCATAGAATGTTGCCGCTGAAGGTCTGACTTTCACTGGCAACTATTAGTGTCACCGCTGAAGGTCTGACGTTCAGCAGCGATATTTTGTTGTCGCCACTGAAAGTATACCTTTGAGTGGAAGGTGATGTAATCACTGTGTTCACTTTTAGCGGCGACATTCTATGTTAGTGTCACCGCTGAAGGTCTGACTTTTAGCGGCGACTTTATAATATCGCCACTGAAAGTGTAATATAATAATATATATTTTATTTTACACTAATAATAAACAAATTCAATCTAGCTCAGTGGCAAGAAGATTGGACACGAAAGGAGGTGGTCACAAGTTCGAACCTTGAAGAAGACACATTTAAGGTGAAAATATTTGGACGATGACGTGGCGGGGAGGAGTGATGTGGCAATGACGTGGAGGTGGCTAGTGATGACGTGGCACCTGGTCGATGATGAGGTGGAGGTGGCTAGTGATGACGTGGCAGCCGGCGGTGATGACGTGGCAGCCGATAATGATGACGTGGCGTTGGTAAAGCCAATTCTTCTTAGGCATCACTTTCAGCGGTGACAAAAAAGTCACCGCTGAACGTCCCTTTTGGCGGCGACAAATTATCGCTGCCGAAAGTGTCTTTTAGCCATGGTTGCTACGACAACAATTTTTCAGCAGCGACTTTTATATTTTCAGCGGCGACAAAAAGGTCAATTTTTTTGTAGTAGCAAAAAGAATAGTATTAGTTAAAGCCAAACACAATAATGTGTGTGTGTGTTTGGCATAAATAAATGATGTACTGTATATGTATGCTTTGGGAATAAATGCTCTATTTGTTATAGAGCCTTCCTTGAAAAATGCTTATGCCTTTCTAATTTATTTTAAAAGTTTCAATTAAAGAATTACGCCCAAATGTTCTATTTTTCTTTTTACCATCTTGACAAGTTCAACCTTCAACTAGAACCATTAATATCCCAATTGGTAATAAGCTGGAGTAGGGTATAACTGATATTCAAAATTTAAAACTTGTACTATAAAAAGAATCCAATTTTTTTAAAAAATACCTATACATAAATTATCTTATATTTTGGATATATTAAATATAGACGCATATTCGTGATCCCATATGTATTCTTTTCATAATATTATAAAGGGAAAACATACCTGGGAGTCCTTATAGTTTTAGTTAATTTTGAATTAGATCTTTATAGTATGCTCTTTTGGTTCTCTTTATAAGTCACGTCCAACATGTTTTATAGAGACTAAGAAAAATCTTAAACTTCATTAACTTTCATTTAAAATTTAACAACTTTTCAACTTTATCCCTATTTAATATATATTATACTTCATATAAATAAAGTTAATACAATAACAAATGAAGAGTAAAATGATACATTCATATAAAAATTTTCTCTCATTACTCTATAAATAGAACAAAAAATGTACACTCTTTTTACCCTATAAATAGGACTAAAGGAACATATCTTTTTTATTGGATCCTTGGAGGGATTTCACTTTAATTATTAGTCCCTCTTCATATGTTCTATTTGCTATCCTAGACGGGGTTTGTTTATGCTGAGAGGTGACCACCACGTGGTTAAGCAGAAGAGTCTAGTTTTCAATGTCTCCAAAACCGATTTGCTTTTCGATGGCATGTATGTTGAGAAACTAAGTTTTATTTATTATTAATTGTTTGTGACGCATAATTATTTTTTAATTAAAGATAATATCTTTTCCTCCTCTCTTTCAAACTTTTCATTATTGAAATTTCAAATTACATATATATATATATATATATATCAAATTATCAACAGCTAGTTGCCCTGATAGCAACACCATCCACCACACTTGAATGAGGTCCCAGGTTTAAGCCTAGGTGTTGACATGTTTGTTCGTATTTAAATTATATTAAATAAAATTTATTAATTATTTAAAAAAATATATGCATATGAAAGACAAAAATTTTATAAATGTCCTTACATGTCAAGCCCACTATGAGATAGTAGGCCTTTTGTCCAGCCTTGTCAGAAGCCCATTTTTAAACAGTCACTTGAATAGATGCTTGCTTAAATGCAACATGGGTTTACATGTTCATGGTACCAGAAAGAAAACAACTTTTTTTTTTTCCTGTCTCCAAAATTAATTGTTTAAACAAAAAAAACTCTGTTCACATGTGTAATCCTGATAATTAGCCAACTTTTTTGTCAAAAAGAAAAATTGGTAATTGTTATATGGTTTGAGTAGTTGATACCATATTGACAAACTAAGGCATCAAATTAACTCTCAGCTGGCCCATGTTAATATTCGTCTTAAAACAATTATGTATTTGCTAATCTCAGTTGGTTTTCTTTCTTTTGTACCACTTGGAATATTAGAATTTTTCTTCCTCGAAAGTAAATATTACACCAAGAAAAATTACGTTTTGCGAGCACATTTATTGGACAAATGATATAATAATAATGAATCGAATGTTATTACTCAAATGTTTATATTAATTAAGATCATTGCAAGGTACTAAATTTGCGCACTTTAATTAAATCAAGCTAATAATCAACAAAAGATGTGCAATTACAGGAACAAGAATTGGGGGGAAAAAACACACAGACAGACAAACAGACAGCACCAAATTTAAAGTGAAGTTTAGGTTTTAACTCAATGCATATTTAAGAGTGAAAAAAACCACTATTATTTTCTGACCCAAAAAAACCATTTATCATTTAAGTTAAGAGTGAAAAAAAAGATATTTAAAAAATGAATCACAACTGTTTTTTTTTTTAAATTTGTTTTTTAAAATTTGTAAAGTGTTTTGTATTAAGAATATAGATAGGGTCTATCAAGTAGCCACAAATGGAGTTTATGTTAAGGTGTTAAGATACTAAGATTGAGGGTGTGTTTGGATGACTTCAAACCGTGGTTTGGAAAAGTGATTCTGGAGAATAGATTCTGTGGAGAATAGATTCTGAGAAAAAGTGATTCTGAGAAGTGAGAGTGTTTGGATAGTTATTACCAGAAGTGCTTTTTACATGTGGAAATGACCAAAAAGGGTATAAGTTAATATGATAATTATATAAGGGATAGATTTTATGATTTATTTTGATTTGAAGAAATAAAATTGTTAATGAAATAATTTTTACTAACATAATTAATAATATATAAGATAATATAATTAATACATAATTAATATGTGTACATATATTTATAAAACATAATATTAAATATGTTTATAGAAAAATGATTTTTTTATAACAGAAAAATATTAATTTTGTTTAAAGATTGTAAACGTGAAATCCCATAACATTTTTTCACAACTACTTTTTGTAATAACATACTACATGTATAATAACCTCTGATGTTTAATACAATTAATTAATTAATTGTCACCACACATATATATTCATAAAATATAAGAGTGAAAAATATTTTTAGAGAAGATGAATTATTTTGTTGCAAACAGAAAGTCATGTATTTTTCATGAAGATTATAAACATAAAATGGGATGCTATTGTTTGATAAAATAGAATAAACACGTCTTAAAATAATTTATTAATTATTCAAATAAGTAATAATTAGCTTGAGAATACAAGGCATAATATTAATAAGAGAAATATAAATAAAGAAGTGTCATAATCATTAAGATGATGCATCGATACAAAGCATTTGTAATAGGTTTTGTTTTTAACTACATATTACAATCTATGATAAAAGGAAATAAATAAGACATGACTACTATCCTCGTATTGAATTAACAAGTTCGTCTCTTATGCTGTCACGAACCTGAGCCATGTAAGATGAAGATTGAATTGATGAATGTATACGTGAAAATCTAACCCCATCATCATCATCTTCTGCATAAGTACCTTCTTCTTCCAACTGAACGAATCCAGGATCAGTAATAGATGTCGTTCTAATAAAATTATGTATAGCCATCGTTGCACAAACGATTTTAACTTGTGTTTCAAAATCATAAGATGGCATGTTTTGTAAGATTGCGAACTTTTTTTTCCAAACTCCGAAAGTTCTTTCAATTGTACTCCTTAAACTTGAATGGAAATAATTAAAGATCTCATTGTCATTTTCAAACCCAGATGTCCTTCGAAAATCAGGCAAATGGTAACGCTCCCGTCTGTATGGGCCGAGATATCCATTCGGTGTTGGGTATCCAGCATCCACCAAATAATATTTTCCTATATAAAAAATGAAATTATTGTAAATTATGTTTCTATTGTTAAGCTAAATATTAAAAAAATATAGGAAATAAAAAAATACCTTCAGGTGGATGGGGAAAGTTCATTGAAGGAGTTGTGAGGGCATGATCAAGTATTCGAGCATCATGTGTGCTACCTTCCCATCCGGCCAAGACAAAAGTAAAACACATGTCCCAATCACAAACCGCCATGACATTTTGTGACACTGTTCCTTTCCTAGAGATAAATTTAGTTTGATCTGTTGCACTGACAACGCAGGAAACATGTGTGCCATCAATTGCTCCAATAGCATGTTTAAAAAAAGGCCAGTATTTACCAAACCGAATTTTTGTATGAACATGCCGGAATGTTGGATCTTTTGGTTTGATATTAGACATGGCAAGTCTACAGCATGCCATTAGGACATTATGAAAATGTCTGCTAATTGTCTCCCCTGAATGTTGAAATCTTTCTTGCTGCATTCTGCTACTAAGTGCATGCCCAACGGTATGTAAAAACATTGCAACTGATTCATGTATCCCTATATTTTTAGTT